AGACACTGTCCAGAAGACGCTCTCACAAGCAAGACAAATGACAGCGAAAAAGCGGTGGCCAGGCACCATAATGCATTGCTCAACAACGGGGTATCACTTGCACGAAAACATTTGCATTAACTCTAGACTCAAAGCTTCAAGCCCATAACCTCAAGCCAAGCCGTGGTGCATCGCTCACTGAGCGTTGATCTGGTTCTGCAGCGCCTGCTGCTGCGCGGAGAACGTCGTTGACGACGCCGGACAGCCGACGCCGGGCCCGTGCAGGTTCTGCAACGTCACGATCGACGCCTGGAGGCGCGTGATCTGGCTCTGCAGCGAGCTGTCCGTCGGGAAGCTCACGCCCACCGACGGGTTGTTCACCACCTTGCCCGCCGCGACGTTCTGGCTCAGCTCCTGCGCGGCCGTCAGCACCCGTCAAGAACACGGAAGAGCAGCGTACGCACCTGGATGAAGGAGTCGCGGTCCGGGGGGCACGAGCATGGAATAAGAATCGGCTGGCCGTTTGCGCCATTGATGCCGTCGCAGTTGCTGCATGGGTGTCAGTGCGTTACTCAGTGGGGGATACGACGAGGAGCTCACCCGGTGCCGTCAGGGTTCACACCCGCCTGCACACCGAACTGGGGCACGAGGCTGGGGTCAACACCACCACTGGACGCGGCAGCGCTCGACGTTGCCGGCGCAGCGGTGGTCGCGGGTGCAGCAGTGGTCGCGGGTGCAGCAGTGGTCGCAGGCGCAGCAGTGGTCGCGGGGGGCGGAACGGCGGCGGCGTTGTTCGCGCTGTTTGCCTCATTCTGGATCGCCTGCTGTTGCGCGGAGAACGTTGTCGACGATGCCGGGCAGCCGACGCCAGGACCGTGCAAGTTCTGCAGCGTCACAATGGCTGTCTCAATCCGTGCGAGCTGCGATTGAGTCGAGTTGTCTGTCGGGAAAGACACTGCGACGGACGGGTTGTTGATGACCTTGCCTGCCGCAACGTTCTGGCTTAGCTCCTGCGGAAGGGTTAGTACGTGTGGCCTGGTTCAGGAGGGACGCGGAGACGCACCTGGATGAAGGAGTCGCGGTCTGGGGGGCACGAGCACGGGATGAGGATCGGTTGGCCATTCGAGCCGTCAATACCGTCGCAGTTACTGGGTATCGGCTTCAGTCAGTTGTGGACCGAAGATATCAATGCAGGCAGCTCACCCAGTGCCGTCGGGGTTGACGCCCGCCTGCACACCGAACTGGGGCACGAGGTTGGGGTCAACGCCACCGCTGCTGGATGCTGCAGCGCTCGATGTCGCCGGGGCGGCAGTTGTCGCGGGTGCAGCAGTCGTCGCTGGGGCAGCGGTCGTTGCAGGCGGCGGGGCGGCAGCAGTGTTCGCACCGTTCTGGATCGCCTGTTGTTGCGCGACAAAGGTGGTCGACGACGCAGGGCAGCCGACACCAGGGCCGTTGAGGTTCTGCAGAGTCACGATGGCGGCCTCGATACGTGCAAGCTGTGATTGCGTTGAGTTGTCTGTCGGGAATGTCACTGCGACGGACGGGTTCGTGGACACGTGCCCGAGGTTGACGTTCGTGTTCAGGTCCTGCACGAGGCCGGAAGCTCATTCATAAAAACTGGAACTGGAATGAACGAAAGGATCGACGCACAGCAATGAACGTGTCGCGATCGGGAGGGCACGAGCAGGGAATGAGGATCGGCTTCCCGTTGGCGCCTAGTGTGATATGAGCTTGGACGATCTCAGCCACGTACGATGCATGCTCACCATCGATTCCATCACAGTTCCCTGTACCGTCGGGATTGACACCAGCCTGGACACCGAACTGGGGCACGAGACTGGGGTCGACATCTCTCTTCACGGGCCGAGACGAAACCGAAACAAGAACAGCAGCTGCGGAGAGGGCAAACGTCGAGAGCTTCATCTTGCCAAGTCGTCGTATGTTAGATCAGGAATTGAGCAAGTGTACGTGAGTTGTTGAACGAGAGTGAATGTTGAAGCCCGCTGGGATCGTGAAGAATGAATGTGTGCTGCGTCTTGCGCAAAGAGAAGGTACGCCCGGCGTAGAAAGATAGGAAGAGAGAGCGCCGTCAGAGATGGAGGAACTGAGACGTCGAGTGGCCATCCTTTATATCTCCGGCGCGAAGGCAAAGTCCAACAAGAGATCGCAAAAGATCCAGATGGAGGTGGACAAGCGTGCGACCCGGTGGCCGCGAATTGCGATGCCGTGCCTCCTGGGCTTGTGACCGTTGACATCGAGCTCGCGTTGCCACCCTTGGTTGTCATCGCGACATCTGCACATCTTCCAAGACACGTCTTCGCAGCCATTCGGTCAGTTGGGTAAATGGAATTGGCTTGGTTGAACGCGCAAAGCCTCGAGGAACAGGCCTCGGAGATGTCGCAGACGCCGTCTCGGAGCAACAGGCGAAATTGGCAAGGGAATGGGCGGTCGAGGCTTGTCGCCACCCACGCGTTTTCACGCGCTTGGTAAGGAGCGACCGCTTGAGGTTGAGGCTGCATCAGTGCGATGCAAGTGATTTCTCAGGACAAACACGCCATCTGTTTAATCTTCCACAACCTACGACGCCGTGAGCGTCGGGGGCCCTTGGCACGAACGGACGAACAGTCTTGAGAGCAACATTCCTGCATGCACAACGCCAGTGGTCCATCTTTAGGGGCGCTGTCTCATCCACCCCCGACAAAACCTAAGATGACACGCCTGTGATTCTGCGATGGAAGAACAGCACGAGGCATCTCTGGGCATCCCAGTCCCAGGCTCCTTTCCTGGCTGCCCAGGCATGGGCAAAAGCGGCCGGCATATCCCAGTGGCTGAGAATGTCCGCAGACGTGGCCATCCTTCACATGCACACCTCGGAAATATCCAAGAGTGCGTATCATAGCGCAGAATGCCTTCGTGATATACTGCGTCGTATAAGATGGCATTTTGGGCGATGAGATGTTGTCCGACACCCAGACTGACTGCACGAAAGACAGCAGCTTCCCAGAGAACATACCTCATAAGGTAAGCCTCCTTCCAAATATGCCCGAAGACCTGGGCAGTGTGCAGTCGGACTTCAAATTTCAAAGTTCAGTCAGACCTGCAATCGCAGTGGCTGATCTCGTACTTCTCAGGAAGTCCCAGTGGTGCACTCACATACAGCTAGCGACTTACTCTGTCTGTTATCTCCTTCGCTCGTGTATCTCTCTCCTATGTGTGGAGCACCGGTACTCGTTCTGGACATCTTGGAAACGATCACTTGGGATGACATGCCGGTTGCTCCGGGGACGCGTGGAAGATACAACAGCAGCTGCGAGCAGCAGGCAACTTGTCTTAACAGATGCCAGCTTGCACGCGAAGGCGGGCCACACTTGTCCCGAGTTGAGATCTCAGTGTTCTCGTGATGCACCGGGTCGCGGCTCAACGTACAGATGCTCTTGTGTGCTCGCATGCACGCCTTACGGAGAAGAGTAGAATTTGCTTTGCGTATCCTTGCTGTTTGCATTCGGGATGATCTGATTGCTCTGGATGGAATTCATGACGCCTTTGGTGGACTGCACTTGCAACTTACGCGACGAATTGAGGCCACAATTCTCTGCGCCTTGATTGTCGTCTTGAACGATATGCCCATCATTGATTCGATCTTTGGGGTCTTCAAGTTGCACCGCAAGTGCGCACGTCCATGGGCGGAATCTGTACATCACGATAGGCGCAAACTCAGCCTCATCTTGGTATCTCGCCACCGGTCACGCATTCATGTTTCGCATCTGTGATTGACTTCTCTGATCCACTCCTGTCTCTGCCATCTGCGAACCCTAGTACTTTGTATACTCCACCTTGTCTGTGACTACGTATCGTACAACACAATCTCCCATCCGATCCGGGAAGCAGCGCGTTCTTCCATATGTAGAACGCCGAGCCAAACCCAACGCACGTGCAACAGTCGCTCTCAGTCCCGACCCATCGCCCTGAGCATCCCGTCCAACATCCCGACCCCACATCTCACCGCGTCCAGAATCACCACCTCTTCCCTCCCCGCCTGCCGCGCCCCCTCCCTCACAGCATCCTTCATCCCGCTCATCCCTGCACACCCCATGATCACCACTTCCGCGTCCCTCTCCCCAACCAGCGCCTGCGCCGCGCACGCAATCCGTTCGCGCACTTCGTCCGCAGGCATCTCGTGCAGCTCCAACGCACTCAGGCCCGTCGAGCATACGCCGACGAACGAGCCGCCCACGTCCCCGGAACCAAAGAGGCCGCGCACCCCGCGGGAGAGCGCGGCCTCCCAGTACGACCCGGTCGTGACGATCCCGAACGGCCGGCCGAGCGCGCGCGCGTGCAGGACGCTCGCCTCGAAGATCCCCAGCACCGGCTTCCTCCGCGTGCCCAATCCCGAGCCCGAAGACGCGAGGTGCGTTCTGAGCATCGGCACGAGTGGGTGCTCCGAGAAGCACGCGACCAGGACGGCGTCGTGTGCGGCGAGCAGCGGGAGCACGGAGGGCAGCGTCGCCGCGGCGGAGGCGGCGGACGTCTCCGCGTCGTTGATGGACGGAGGCGCGTCAGGCGGGCCGGTGTGGAAGTGCAGCGCGAGCCCGGGGTGCGTGAGGTCCGCGAGGAGCGGCGCGAGCGCGGCTGTCATGGAACGCGTGGAGTTCGGGTTGATTATAAGGATGGAGGTGGACGCAGGCGTTGAGGCCATTGTTGCGGGTCACCGAAACGGAGAGTGTGAGGCCTGAGTGTGGAGCGGCCGCGGACGTTATGCCAAGTTGAAACTCTACGAGTGAAGAGCGGGTAAGCCAAGGACCGTGGATTGCGATAAGAGGTGCCTTGTATGATTCACGCGATCTAAATTTGATCCTACATGCATGTCAAGCATACAGTAGTGTGCATGTTGGAGAACAGCACGGTTAAAGGGAAGGACGTCAACGGGAATGATTTCTATCGACATGCTCAACGCGTCCGACATTTCTTCGACCGTTTTCACAGAGGGGTGAAGCTTAAAAGTAAGAAAAAGTTCACATTGCAGGCACTACCAGGGTTCGAACCTGGGTTCCGGGAAATTATTGCTGACGAAGATGACAGTGTCAAAATCCCGAGTGATAGACCACTACACTATAGTGCCACATCTCCGTGATATTGTGTTCAACATATGGACGCATGTATCACGGCGTCGCAGGAGGATGGCCGAGCAAGCATCATGTTACGCTTGAGAGCCCGACGCCGATTAATGGCTCGCTTCAAGCTCGTCTTCTTCTCCCCCGTCGCGTCGACGCAACGCGTCCTGCAGCACCTCTTCGCGACGTACCCGCACCACGTCGGGCGCATCGGCCTGTACGGCGGCTGCGCGTTCGTCACCCGCGGAACCGGTCCGTAGGCTCCTATCAGGCCTCACCACTCAGTCCGGTACTCACTGCTGTGTTTGTACGCTCGGGCTCCAGGCCAGTTCATGCCGCTGCAGGGCGCGCAGCCTGCGATTGGCGTTGTCGGCGCGCAGGAGTTTGTCGAAGAGGACCGCGTGGAGGTCGTCGTGAGCGAGACCCCTGAGGGCGGGGAGCGCGTTCAGATGCGGAGCGTGCTGGAGGAGCTCAAGAAGGTGTGCGACTATATGTGTGCGTCTTGTCCTGCGCGAGTGGGATGACGTGGTGTGCCACAGGTCCATCCGTATGAGGAGGTTGCATACGATATCTACCGGCTGGAGGATCGCTGAAGGTAGAGCAGCGGAGCTGCGTATACGAGCGAAATACCGGTCAAATCTAGGTATGAGCTTATACATATCTCAGTCTTGCAGAACGCATGTTTGTTTGGGGGCGCACATATATGAGAACTGCCCTATATTCACTGCATATTGACATTCAAGCACTCGAGACGTTCGACCCCTTACCTTTCAATGCTTTAATGCCGATTGCTATCAGATTCTTCCTTTTCAATCGCATAGAGTGACTGCGTATCTCCCTCTCATCACCGAGAAGTCCCTGAGGTCTATTGCGCTCATTCGAGCTCATCTATAGGTTTGAATGATTCTCATTCATAGTCATCTTGCATTTCCTCCTGAACCTTTGCCAAGTGGCGTACCAGCCCCTGAGGAATTTGCTCGTCTCTGACAGGACAACCGGAGCTTCTTCTATCCGCAGTCGTCTTACTTTGTCTCTACATCCTTTCTTGAGAATATGGTTGGGCTTTTTGACCACGGGTCAGACTATTGCCATCTGAAAGAGGACAACCCGACGGAAGATGACTATTCAGCGATATTGGACGGTCTTTTCCTGAGTGAATACTTCAGGTGTCAAGACGCTACGAGCGGCCAGAGAGTTGTTGACGCTGTCGCTTCCAGTAGTGACAGGTCCATCATATATTGGCTGCAGGTACTATCCAAGTACTGACTTAATGAACCGTTTCAATGGGCAGTTCGCAGTCTGTTGGTAACGGATTGATTGTCATATCCGACCTGATGGTCACTCGTCGATGTATTCACCAAAGTAATTCTGTTCACCGAATTACAGTATTCGGGTGACACCATGCGGCACTTCTGCTCAGGAATCTTTTTTGGAGTTCCTTCGCATGGATAATTCTGCTTTCGGTAATATCTTGAGCTTTTCATTTTGTATCAGTCTCGTCATTACAATCATGCAATCATGGCTGCGTCTCTCTATGTGTGATATTGTCCACAGATGCTCATCCTGGCGGAACACTCTATGGTACGCACGATGGAATGTTGTCAGCCGAAGCTGACTCGGTACTGACCCAGGTATCTTTGTTGATGATACATATCTATGCATAGTTCGTGTTCGGGTATACGTTTCCCACAAACGCATCAAACTTCACTCGGATGGTCATGTGCATGGAGGACGCTGGATCAGAGACTCTGGTCTATATCGAACATTGTGCCTCGAGACGACGGGTCTAACCTCATACAAGTGCTACTCGACAAGGTATACCGATCTGTTTTCATCACGCAGACCACCACATCCCTCCGTAAGTCCTGTCTCCAATGTACCCATTGTTTAACGTGCTGGAGAGCACGGCGGGCGGTACCGTCAGTTTCCGTTCGTTGGTGACGCTCATGCCGAGACACCAATAGAATTGCAGGATCCCTCCCACAATACGATGCCTACGGTCGGGGTATGAAGGACCCGAAAGCGCCACCTCGGGGCTCGAAATATCGAATTGATGGCGCCGACCTCACTCCGCGTTCCATAATCCCGCCCGGCACATTGGACGTGTGTGCGGTTCGCCCTGGCATTGTCACATCACGGCTTCCCCTACTTCGTAGTATACCCGCGGAGTAGATGGGTGGCGCATATACTAGTGGCGCGTCTCGTCCGGACTGACGGGTCACGTTACCGATAGAGGCCACCAGGCATACGAAGTCGTCGTATACGGTGGATGCAGTACCGGTCCCTAGCAGATACTATTCCGCACTCGCGTGTCAAGTACCATATGCGCCTCGTCGTATGGAGAGTGAAGTAGCACCATCAAGCCGCTTCGGAACAAGTCCTCCTGGTTGATACATCTGTGAAGTGTGTCCGTGTCCATAAATTGTATGTCGCGGAGCGGGGAAATCTGCTCCGCGGCGGTCCAAGCGACGCGGAGCGCGCTCACGCCACGATCACGTAGGCGCCCAACATTGTTCTTGAATTTTGCTGTCTGTATCTGTTGCTTGAGCTGTGGGTTCCCTCCATTTCCTGCATCTATCTGCTCTTGGATTCTCACACTGGGACGCTATCTGCTGCGCTTGCAGTCCCGGCCGCCGCGAGCGACTCTCCGCTGCGGCCCGACGACAGTCGCGATTTCAAATCGTCAAGAACCTACCCAGGTTAGCACGACAGGAACATTCGCAACGTGGTCCACACGCAGCGCGGCTCCAAGGGACACCACGTTGGTTACTTGTCAGGGGCAGGCATGCGTGTGGGGCAGTCGCCTCAAGGGGCGAGCGGCACAGCGCACACGGGCACCCACCGTTTGTATTCGCCTGGCTGCCTATGCGGGAGTGGTGCCGGCTTGATAGACTACGGCCATGCGCAATGTCACCATATACAGCACCTTCCAAGCCGTTTGGATAGCCCTGACAGATTTGGAACGCTGCAGTGTGAGGGCAAAAGGCAGACAATCCACCATATGCGTCCTGTTCGCTTCGCATCCCATTGACGAAGAGGACCAGGTCTATCCGGGGGGTGGAGGGGTGCTTCCGGGTCTCTACTCTCGAAAGGCACTCCGTGGTGACGGCCGCTTTGACTATCTCGCCGAATAGGCAAGTACTCCTAGTCTCCTCAGCTGTTCGAGGAAGGACCCCGGCAAAGCCTGCGTCGAATTCTTGCAAAGAAACGAACCTGGTCTCAGCCGTCAACTTCACTTGCATCTATAAGCATCCAATCTATCTGAACCCTGGCGAGGCTATTCAGTCAAAGTGACACCTCCTGCCAGTGGCGTGAAGGTTGGATTCCGTTGCACGTAAGACGTTCTCGTAAGAGGCCGTGCGTATATCGGTCGCAATCGTTGCCATATAACTGGATTCCTCGCAGTGAGGATCCCCATCTCTTTGTTTGACCGTTGCTCTCAGCTTGCTCGTCTTTATCCAAATCACCTCACGTCCTGTGTCGATCCGGACCCGGACTCGAAGCAAAAATGGCGCAATCTCCTCCTGCTGCGCCGCTCGCGATGCCAACCCTATCATTCCCCGATGAGCTCTTCGAAGAACTGTCCAGCGCAGTCCGTGGCCCCGTCTTCCGTCGATCTGATGCAGAGTACGTGCAGCCTTCATCCTCGAGAGGCGCAAGGCTCCTGCCTAACTGCGACTTGCAGATTCGCGACTCGCTCGCAGACCTTCAACGGGAAGCTCAAGTCACTTTCCCGAGCCCTCGTGTCGCCACTCGATGCGCAGGACGTCAGCGCCGTCGTCAAGTTCTGCGCCAAGCACAAGCTGTCGCCTTCCGTCAAGTCGGGCGCATACGGCATTGCCGGATGGGCCGTCGCCGGCGACATCATCCTAGACCTCGGCATGCTCCGCGAGGTCGATATCGAGCTGCCGCTCGCTGACGCCGGCGAAGGCAAGGACTATACCGGACTGCGCGACATGCCCGGCCCCGGTGAGAAGGGCAAGGGCCGCGCGGGAGGCCATCTTAAGTTAGCATCGAAGCCTAGCCCCGACGCCGTGAAACTCGACGAGCCCCGCCCCGCAGAGCCCATCGCATCTCAGCCCGATGGGCCCTCGCCCGCGTCCCCGACGACGGGCGGCAAGCGCCGACGTGAGGCGAGCGCGTCCCCTTCCCCGCCGGATGGCTCGCCCGTCCCCAGCCAGGGCGTGCCGCCAGGCTTCATGCGCTCGTATGACGCGGCCTCGCATGTAGTCGCGTCCTTCCTCCGCGGCCCGCCCCTCCCCGCCGAGGTAGGTGAACAACCGCGCCAGCCGCCCGCGCACCGCCGCAGGCTGCACTCCCCCGAACCCGACGCGGACGCGGACACCCGCGAGCTGGCGCTGGACACGGGTGCGCAGGTGCAGGTTCCCGCGCTGGGGGAGGACGGCCGCCAGATCTCGAGTGACTCCATGCAGTCCTCGAGCGCGGGCTCCGGTTTAGGGTCGAGCGTCGCGCGCACGGCGAGCAGCGGTGCAGCGACGACCCCGCCGACCGTGAGCCCCGTCGATAGCGTCAGTGCGCCCTCTGGCGTGAGCGTCTGGAACGCGCCTCCGTCCTCGGCTAGCGGCCTCTTCCCTATGTCCGCAGGGCCATCGTGGGGCTCTGGCTCTGGTATCCTCCCGCCGGGCTTCGGGTCCTTGCCGCTCTTTGGCCTTGGCGTGTCGTCGTCACCTTTCGGGTCCTCGCCGCTCTTCGGTCCCGGCGCACTGGGCGCGCTGAACGCGCCGATGGCGCCCGGCCGGCCGGTGCACGCGCACGCATATGTGACATTTGGTGCGGGAATGCGCCAGCGCGAGCTTGACCTGTACACGGCGGAGCACCTGCTCGAGGGCATCAGCGGCGTCACGGGCGCACGTGAGCCGGGTGTTGTGCCATATCATATCCCTTCGTGAGTCCTCGTCCTAGCTCTCTTGCTGGCAGACACGCTGATGTATGCGGGCTATGTATGTGACTATGACTGATATATGCGGATGCAAACGGCGTGCGGGGC